TTTTTTTTTAAGCCATCCAATTCAATATTTACCAGAACAATCCCATGCTTGGTTCTAAAATTACTGGCCGCACAAGGAACCGTTTACTTCTGGTAAGGAGAGGAAAACCCAGGCTTGTGCCTTGCGCTTAAAAAACAGAATAAAGTAAAAATTTTTTAAAAAAATAAATTGCTTATTGCGTGCACCCCCTTTCCCTTCTATTGGGGAACGGGGTAAAAACCCGTTTCGCCAGGGCTGGGGCCCTTCCCTGTCCGGGCAAACCCCGCAGCTGCAGCCCTGTAACTTTAAACCTGGCCTGAGGTCATCGTTGGCGCGCTGGCCAAACAGAGCCGAGGGCGGTCCCAGTGAGCCCCGGCCCGACCACCTTACGGGGCGCTCCCGCCCTCCCGGGCAGGGATAAATGCTGACTCCGCTCCCGAGTTCCCAGCTGCAAAGTTGGCTCCGTCGGTGCCACTCGGAGGACGCTTGGGGACCCGTCCTGCGCTGGGACTTTGTCTTCCCGCGTCCCAGCCCCTGTTTTGCGCTCCGCCGGGCGAGGGCCCGTGGCTGCAGGGCTGCCGGATCTGCCCCCAGCGCGAAAAGCCAGCTGCTGGGCCCGAAGAGAACAGCCGCTGCGAGGATGTGGAAGGTGCCGCTGCTGCTGCTGGCGGTGGGCAGAGCTCTGCTCTGGGTCCCGGCTGAAGGAGGTAAGGCCGGGTGGGAGCGGCTCCCNCGCTGGCGGGGCCCCGCCGGCCAGGGCGCGCCGGAGTGCCTGGGCCTGGTGTTTGCGGTGGCCCAGGACGGCAGAGGGGAGCGGGGAGCTGTGCGTGAGCGAGTCCGGAGGATCTCGGAGCCCGGGAGGCAGCGCTTAGCTGGTGCCGGGTCCCAAAGAAAGAGCTGGACCGGGTGCGAGGAGGAGCCCCCGAATCCACAGGCAGCAAGTGAGGAGTAGAGGGGGCCTCCCTCACAGCCAGCCCACCTCCTGTCATGCCCTGCGCGGCTCAACTCAGGAGAGATGGGGCGACGGTAACAGCCAGGAGCCCCCCGTTGCCAGGACTGGGCTGTGTGTTGGGCCCATGGATGGGGAGGGACATTCAGGGGTGCAGGGGTGGGGAGAGGGCTCCCCCGTGCAGCCGAGGTCTCCCTCTGGGAGCTGCCAGGTCCTAGACCCTGTGCGCCCTGCAGGTGGGACATGCTCCGGACCCCATCGTGGGGATGGGCTGGAAGACGCGCTGGGATCCTCTGTACCGAGGCTAGTGTGTGTGGGAAGGAGGGAGTGGGGGGCCCTGAGCGGCAGGAGGGAATGAAGGATGGCGGTGACCCTGAGGCTTAAGTTGGTTTGGGGACCGTGCGTTGAACTTGGCCAACAATGCCCACGACGACCTGGTTGTTGGTGACTCTCAGGCGTCAGATGCATTAGGTCGGAGGGCGGGCGCCGCCTGCCTGGTCGTCTGCGTCTCTCCCTTCCTTTCCCTCCTCTTGCTCGCAGATCTTCCTCGCACCCCTTGCCCCTGTCTGCCCAGTGGTGGCACCCCTTGCCCGAACATTTGTCGGTATATTTTTTCTTTTCTTGGGTTTTTATTATCTGTTTCCCCAAAAGGAATATAAGCTCCCAAGGACACAGCTCTGTCTTAGCCTTGATCCCCGGGGCCCAAACAATGTCCACCTCATAGTAGTTGCTCACCGAGTATTGGCAGAAGGAACTGTCATCTAACTAGTGATCTTTGGAGTTGGAGGTTGCTGAGCTGTGCCCTGAAAGGTAGACAGACGCTTACGTTTTCCAAACTGAGGATCCAGGTAATCCCAGTGCCAGAGGGATCCTTGGAGGGCCTCGCTTGAGGGAGGCGTGGACCTAACCTAGGCTTCTGCTAATTCCACACAAAGACAAAAATACCCAGCCCTGGGGAGATGATGCAGGGGGTGGTGCTCCGGGCACGGAGCTGTCTGCTTCGGCGAGACGGAGCAACTCTCGGCAGGCCCGTGGGCTATTCGTGGTGGCCCTATCTTTGGAACTTCTCCTTTCACTGCGTTAAACAGAACTCCGAATTTCAATGGCATTTCCTTTTTGGCGAGACAGTGTGCAGATGACACCATGTTGTGTTCACTGGGGCAAGGTGTGGGAGGTCCCCGAGGTGCCGCATCCCAGCCCTGCTCAGGAAAGCCCGCAGCTGGGCAGGCGACGGCCCCTGTTGGCTCCCAGGGACGGGTTAGCTGTAATTATCCCGCAGCCAGTTCTGAGTGTCAAAGGTACTCCTGACGGGTGGCGGGGAAACCTAGTCTGAAAAAAACAGCCATTGACTTGCTGAAGACAGGAGCCCGGGGCTGTGGGTGGGGGTGGCCGTGTGGATGCTGATTTGCAGGCCTGCTAGCCAGGAGCTGAGGCCCCGAGGGGATCTGTCTGCGGGTAATGAGGGAGGCGACTTGCATATGGATGAATAACTTCATTGAGCTGAGCTATTGTAGGCTCCTGTTGGGGGGCCGAGCTGGGGGTAATTATGGTGATGAATTTTATTACCCTTCTAGGATCCTGCTCCCTGCTGAGCCGGCCTCACGTAGGGTTATAATCCGGTTTGGTTTTATAATCGGGTCCCATGTGTTGTCTCTGTGGACATTAGAGGGTTCAGAGGAGCTCTGTTGTCCACACATCTGGCATTTTCCTCGTCAGCTCTCTGAAATTTCATCCAAAGCACGCATTTCAGGGCCTCTGTTAGCTGGATCTTTTACTTGTTGAGATTTTGCAGGCTGCCGCTTGCTACAAACTCATCTGCTTTTCCGGGACCAGTCCACCCAAGATTAATCATGCGGCAAACAAATTTCCTGTGATTTCCCCGAAATGTCTGCCAGTTTCGGAGGCCCTGAAATCTTCACGAGTTTTTGTAGCACTTAGGACATCCATCAGGCGTTTCGTAAAGGTCGGGTCCGTCCGTTGGAGCTTCGTGAGGGAGGCCTATCCATTCTACTTGGTGTGTGAGGCCCAAAACAGCACTGGATACAGAAAAGCAGAGTTTTAAAAAGTATTGGCCTGGCTGGTTTGGCTCAGTGGTTAGAGTGTTGGCCGGCGGACTGAAGGGTCCGGGGTTCGATTCCGGCCAGGGGCACGTGCCTCGGTGGCAGGCTCAGCCCCAGTCGGGGCGTGTGCGGGGGGCAACCAATCGATGTCTCTCTCTCTCTCTTCCACTTTCTCTGAAAAAACAATAGAAAAATTATCCTGGGGTGAGAATTACAAAAAAAGGAAAGTATCCACCAGTGAGAAAGCTAAGGCAGGACCGGGCCACAGGGAGGCACCCTGGCTGAGCAGAGGTAAGCGGCCCCTTGTCTCTCTGTCTCTGGCCCCTGAAGCCAGTGGCTCATGAGTAACTCAGTACCAGGGAATGATACAGCCCGACCTCGGCGTCCCAGTGGATGGTCAAGTAGGGGGGACGCCACCTCTCCCCCACCTCCATCCCCCACCATGGTCTAGGAACTCCAGTTATCTCCTTTCGCAACTCCTTAAATTATATAGTATTATCTTCAGGATGTGCCAGAACTGGGGTTCAGAAGTGGGTTTAACTCCCAACCCCAAGCTCTTTCTGCTACATCACTTTGCCCTCCCCCCCCGAAGAATAGAACCCCACATACAAAAGCTCACCCCACTTTAAGTTCCTTAAACATGAAAACAAAAAATGTAAGAGGCATAAGTCCTTTGCACGGAACACTTACCGACTGTCCCAGTGTGTCACGATGGCACTCGGTGACCCACCCCCGTGGCAGCTTGGGCGCCCGGGATGCCCGGCGCGGGGCGGGCGCACACGCCGTGCCCGCCTAACCCCCCGCAGCACGCGCCGAGCCGTGCTTCAGATTCCACCGGCTTATCCGAATATTTGTCATATTTCTGGCTCCTAAGAACAGGCGTGCCAGGTTAGAACTTGTGGAAATATTCCGGGGAAGGACGCCGAGGGAGAAGGCTCTAACAGTTAGCGCCACCCTTGTGACCCTCCCTTGAGGGTCTAAATGAGGGCCTGCCACCCTGCCACCTCTCAAGGCGGCGGCCAGTGAGAGCGTTTTTGTTGGACAAGAACCAGGTGATCGGGGGAAATGGGGACCGAGTGCACAGTTACTGGGATAAGTCTTAGGATTGCCATGGGGGGAGCAGCTCCTTTTAAAAAAATTTATCTTTATTGTTGAAAGTATTACAGATATATG